ATGTTAAGGAGAACATTTTATAATGTGCCATATTCTTGCAAATATGCTCTTTAAGACTATACTTTCAGGGATCATTTCTATAGTTTGTAACTCGTTGAATGTGCTCGAAAGTGTCTAAACTCAGTAACCACAAGGAAGAGATTCAGGGTTTTCTCCTGAGCATGAGATGAGTTCCTGCAACTTCTGTGTGTAGTTGTTGGTTACTTTTGATGAATGTTCTGGGTTCCTTAAATGGGACTTAGAACAGAGAAAACCCAATCTGAGTGGTGTTATTTATAATTTGTCATAGTAAAAGGGGTTGTCTTCCAAAGAAATACATCATGTTCTGTCTGACAGTGTGGGAGAGATTTCTTGTTTAACAAAATGTCCAAGTCAAATGACAATGTGGTTTTTAGCTGGAGCTATCTACAGGCAGCAGATATCTTACATGTATCTCTAGAGTGGTGTTTACATGCCTTAACATATTTCCAGCTCTCTTTTAACCAGCTTGTCAATGTCCTCTTGTGAATAACTCCAAACATTTTGGAATGCCTTTCCATGGAACAATTGTGGGATAAAATGCTGGCACTGGAGAATAACTCTGAAGATCAAAATAATGTGTGTTTCTGTGCAATGGGTGTTTCTGTGCCATTTAGAAGTATACATGACAATTGTTCATTATGTGCTACCCATAGCCTGTTGCCTTCTTCTCAATCTTTCAGAGATTAAAGCATCAAAATACATGCATGAGTCTGATTCCTTGGTTTCACATGTGAACATCGCAGACTAGCACCGTAGAAAACACAAATTCTATCTTCCAACTCCACATAAACTCCTTGTCACATTTTCTTGAGGTGGAAAAGTCAATATGTCACAAATCATTTCCTAAGAGGGCTTTTCAGTACATGGTTTAGATTATCGATGCAATGTTAAGGAGAACATTTTATAATGTGCCATATTCTCGCAAATATGCTATTTAAGACTACACTTTCAGGGATCATTTCTATAGTTTGTAACTCGTGGAATGTGCTCGAAAGTGTCTAAACTCAGTAACCACAAGGAAGAGATTCAGGGTTTTCTCCTGAGCATGAGATGAGTTCCTGCAACTTCTGTGTGGAGTTGCTGGTTACTTTTGATTAATGTTCTGGTTTCTTTAAATGGGACTTAGAACAGAGAAAACCCAATCTGAGTGGTGTTATTTATAATTTGTCATAGTAAAAGGGGTTGTCTTCCAAAGAAATACATCATGTTCTGTCTGACAGTGTAGGAGAGAGTTCTTGTTTAACAAAATGTCCAAGTCAAACGACAATGTGGTTTTTAGCTGGAGCTATCTACAGGCAGCA